GATGCAACTCACAGGAGCCCACTCTCAGCCAGCTCTCTCCTTGCTGTAGCTTTCAAGCCTAGAGGACAATGTTCTCTCTGATTCTAGGCCATGCACTGGTAGCTTTAGTATCGTTCCTCACCGCCCATTCCGCCAGTTCCAGTACATTCCTGTAACAGCTCATCAGCTGGAATTTATTCCAGTTGTATAATTTCAAGTCAGGCCCATAAATACTTAATGGATATTTCTCAATCCATTTATTTAAAAAACCTGACCATTATTCTTGCCTGCAGCAACTACTCCTAAGTCCTTGGCCTCCCACACACAAACAAAGCAGCCTTGGCCATTTCCCCCCCCAGCCTGAGCCATTTTCCTGCTCTGTAAGAGTTTTGTTCCCATATCCTACCACCAGCATGTTTTTTTTCCAAATTACTATTCCTACTTTTTCCTAGTGAATTTCTCATTGACAAAGAGACCTACTTTCACTCTCCCATCCTTGCTTCCCTCAAGAAAACCCTTCACTACCCCTTTCAAAGGAATCTGCAAGTGGGAACACACCTGCACTGTCAGATCGCCACCTTTTTTCATACCTGTGATGTTTATGGACAACGTTTTGGGGTTTATTTTAAACCAAAGGCACAAGTGTTCCCCTCCATCAAGCCCCTTTGTGCTTGAAGACAGAGAGTCACTTGTCCAAGTCTGTCCTGACCAGGTCACATTCCACTTTCACTTGATCTATACTCAACATTCCTGGTTTGCCCATCGGGACGCATCTCAATCTTTAACAGGACCTAAACCCTAGCAAAAAGCTTGGCAAGACAAGATGCCAAATGCACCCAAAGTCATTTTTATACTACACCTGACCCTCAAAATATGAAGAACCTTTAAAAAAAAAATCCCACCCTACTTTCAAACACCCCCATTAGATGCTACATCTCCAACCTGATGCCCTGCTGAGTATTTTTAAAGCCTTCTCCGTTGCGTTCTTAGGAGCACACAAGCAAAATCCCCAACACTTAATGAGGTGTAAAACTAATTATTATGAAATAAAGCTAGCTGTTCACCAGGTGGAAAAACATCACATTTTCACGTCCTATTTTCCTTTAAAATGTATTCCCTTCCCATCATCCAGCATACTCTGCAAATGTAAAAATAAATCCTGCTCCCAGCAGAGCTCTGGCTCAAAGGCTGCGAGTCCAACAATAAAAAGCTTCACAACTTAATGGCTCTTAAATGCTCAACATCTTTTTCACTTAATGTAAAACCCATCTGATCTAATGGCTGTGACTGAATTATATGTATGTTTTTTCTATTAAAAGTTAATTTTCTGAGTTGGCAGAGCAACACAAGCATTAGATTAAAAAAAGCAGTAATCTCCAGAAGCTTTCCAGGGTTCAGAGATATTTCCAAGTCAGCTACTCAAAACAAAAAAGAGAAGTCACAAATCCACTTTAAAAAGTGCTGTTTCATAATAGGAACATGGTGCCAACAATCAATTAGAAGCCACATTGCCTCGTGAATGTTGCTGTCCTGTTTTCATGGACCTGATCACCCGACACCTCCTGCAAAGCCCCCTCAGCCTCTCAGATGCATTTCATCTACATTTGACATTTCTGTGACCTCCCAGCCCTTCCTTGCATTTCTCAGCCGTGTTTGCCCATGAATGCATCACTATTGAAGGCTTCCTTATTGGGCAGGTGAAACCTCCTGCTTGATTGTTCCAAGCACATGGATTATCACTGCCATGGGAACTTCACTGCCACGTGGACACAGCCCAGGTTTTCGCTTCACCTTCACGAGTCAAGTGAGCCAGAACAAGCCCTTGCATGCAGCACTGCCAAGGGACTTGGTTCACTCTGAGACTGGAGACATCCCCATTTGTGCAGCATTTAAACAACCCACACCTATTAACATTGAAAACATGAAGCTTTTCTTGTATGCTCTGATTTTTTAAGTCTCACCCACACCAAGGTGACGAGGGCCTGAGCCAGCACGTGTTCCATGAGACACTTGTTACAGGTTTAGTCTCTCATTTCTCTGCCATTCTTTATCTTGCATTGATTTATGAAGTAGTTTAAAGTCCAGGCAGGACTTCCTTCCCCAGCACAACCCTGCTGTTAAGAGCAGTGCTATGCAAAGGGCAAAGTGGCTGCAGGTAAAAAATCCCCAGGTGCCTCCTGCCACCAGGCTGGCAGCAGCTCCGTGGCACAGCTCCTCAGAAGCAGCTCCTTGCTGATCTGCAAGGGAAATGTTACCCCAGGAGATCTGCAGTGGGGCTTGGGGGGTTCCCTTCCACCCACACACATGCAAAAGCAGCAGTTCCTCAACTTAATCATCTCCTTTCTAGTATCATATTAACAGGAGATACAGAGGAGTATTAAGGAAACATTTTTAAAAAGCAAAAAAGCACAACCAAAATATTCACACAACTTCCCACTCCCAGGTACCAACCCGTCTTTCACAGGAAAATGGCAATTTTAATTACTTAAAAAGCAAACACTTCTTGCCACAGATGAGGCCAGCAATGGTGTTTGTGCTTTAAGTAACAGGACATTGGGTTGAAGTTGCAAAGTCATTAAGATGAGGAGAAACCTCAGCTCTGCTGGCAGGGGGAGGCTTCAGACACACATCTGGAAACAGTTCCACCCAAGTGCCAGTTCCTCTTCAGAAATACCTCCAACCCACAGATGCTCATGACTTTTTCCCTCCCAAGGTCAAGTTAGAGATCTCCAAGAACCCTTAAGAGAGCTCCTGCTTACTTAGAACACAAGGAACTCCTTTAAAGATCCAAGGAATAAAACACTGCTCCTGTCATTGTTTGACTACAGTGAAGTTTCACCTTGTGTTCATCCCCTGACAACTTCACCACCTCAGTCTTTTTCATGTCCCACTGGCTGGAGGAGACAATCCAAACGACCACAAATAAATTAAGCTCCTGGTGAAAGCAGAGAGTCCTTCATCCTCAGCTCACACCAAAGGAACAGACTTTGGCCATGCTAAGAAATGACTCTGCAAAGTCTGCTTAGCATGAAATTAGGTAGCAGGGTCAGTTATTAAGTGAATTCATTCTATTAACAGTAGCAGTGAGGCTTGGCTGGCTCACTCCCAAGCCTAGTGACAGAGGTGGCAGCCAGCTTGCCCTGAGGAACTGGTACAAGCTTTGAGTCCCCAGCAATAAAATCCAAATTTTACCAACTATAAACTCTGGAAGCAGATAGAAAAGCCCAGTAATCCCAGTGGACATCTGAAAACCAGGTGTTACCTGGTGTTCCAGAGCATTCAAGTCAGTTCAGTGTCCTTCACTACCCAGACTGTCCCAAACCATTGACATTCCTTCAACTTTTAACAGAATTGACCACTACAATAAAAAGAAGAAAACATTTTTATTGCTAATATAATATGGGAGAAATTTAGGAAAACATACATAGAGCTCCCCCAGTTAGGAAACATACAATATCAAAATATGCCAGAGTTAGTATATCAAAACAGTTTCTCTCTAAGAGTTTCAAGTAATGCAATCATAAAAGAATTTGGCTAAAAAGTAACATATACTGAGATGTTTTCTGTAATAGTCCTCTAAGAAATTAAAGGAAAGCAGCAGTAGATCTGTTGAACTACAGACACATTTAGTAAATATATTAAGTGTATTTATATAATAAAACTGCTCTGCATAATCATCACTGTGTTTGTATCCTCCTCTATGTGGCAGCTCAATTCTACAACAAGACTCTGCCCAAAAAGGGGCAAGAAGGAAACAAACATAATAGTCCTAACAAAAAGAGCCCCCAGGCTGCAAGGTGAGCTACCAGGAAGCACAGAACTCTGCACTCTGCCTCCAGCCCTTCTTTTTCAGGGAGATGGAACAGGGAGGTGGTTCTGCACCAGGATGCCAGATTCCTGCTTGTCACAAGCAACTGCTCCCAACCAAATGGGCTGAAGTGAAGAAGGTGCTGGCAGCACTTCCCCTGCTTGCTCTGCTGGAACAGCCACGTGCACCTGGCTCACTGTTCAGCTGCTTCCTTTGAACAGTCCCGAGTTTCATGGTTCAGTTCATAAAACTTGCTTATGGGAACATCATCCTTCAGTTAAAAATTAAGCCCTGTCTTTTTTAATAGGTAGATTCCAAGCAAATAAAATTTCTCAGTTCATTGACCCTCACTATTTGCATCTTCCCCATAAATAAGATCACAGCCCATAATTTACAGCTAAGAAAATACCCAAAGTTTCCAGGAGATAGTGTTTGAAAATCCAATCCCTGAATTCCCCAGTGTGCAGCTTCATGAGCTCCTCAGCCTGCACTCAGACTGGGCCTAATGAAGAATGCAATTAGACAGAAGCAGGACTAGTGCACTGAGATCAAAATGCTGCTCTGCAAACTCCAGCCCCTGTTTTAGCCTCCAGTGATCAATATTGCAAACTACTCCTGAAAAACCTGGGGGAAGAGAGAAGGGAGGGGCAAGCACAGGAGTCAGTGCTTTGCTGGAAAACCTGAATTTTAAAAGTCCTGCAAAAAGCAAAGGCACTACATTTTAAGCTTTATTTAAATAAAGTCTGTAACCTGGCCAGCCAAGTTACAACACACACCCAAACAGTTCATCTGCCTCTGCAGCCAACTTCCTGAGCACACTGGGGTGTCCTGATCAGCTTATGTGACTAACCAGCCACTTTCTCTTAATCACTAAAGGAGATAATACAGCTACAATACTTAGCCAAGCTCATTTCAACACAGTTTATTTTTAACCATACCATGAGAGTTCAAGTTGTAGGATAAACTGGAGTTTCCTTGCTTTAGTAAGTGGTCAATCAGACATTAAAATAATCTCACTCCTATGTCATCATTTTGACAGTCAGCTGGTTATCACTTCAAAAGATGTTCTACATCTTTTATTTAGCTAATGAGAAAAGTACCAGATCTGAAACTTAGCAACCCTATCCTACTGTTTTACAGGAAAAAAATATTTCAGCTTTCTAAGTCGTTTCCTATTTGGAGGTTCTAAGAGCAGCTGTATCAGCAGCACTGCATACATCTCATGCAGGGTCTCACTGGTGTAAGCACAGCCCTCCTACAAAGTGCAGCAGCCTTCAAGAGCAATGGCACTAAGCAGGTCAGCAAACAAGCCCCTGTCTCATCCGAATGATCTGCAGCAAAGCAGCTTGGACATCTTCATCCATGTGACCCTAGAGCAAGCAAACACTTGGTTAAAAGAATAATTAAAAATCCCATAGGGTGTCAACCATCCCTCACTAACATTAAGAGATTCTTCCAAGTTACTCAAAGGTCTCTACTTGTTGTTGTATTTTCACCTCTCTGGGAAAATCTGAATACTGTTTTTCCCTCTCCTGAGAGAAAGGAGGGTTGAGGAAGGACTTTGGACAGGGACTTGTAGTGAGAGGAGGAGGGGAAATTGATTTAAACTGGAAGAGAGGAGATTTAGGCTAGACACTGGGAGGAAATTCCTTAGTGTGAGGGTGGTGAGAGCCTGGCCTAGGCTGCCCAGGGAAGCTGTGGCTGCCCCATCCCTGGCAGTGTTGAAGGGCAGGTTGGATGGGGCTTGGAGCAGCCTGGGCTGGTGGGAGGTGTCCCTGCCCATGCCGGGGTGGGACTGGATGATCTTTAAGGTCCTTTCCAACCCAAACCATCCCATGATCTATGAGGGTCTGCCTCTCTGACACAGCAGTTCCCTTTATGAGAGTATGATGGGGAAAAAAAAAACTCCTGTTCCAGTCCTCTGGCCTCCACAGCCCAAGGCTGTAGCAACAGTTCCTCCTCTGCACCATTAGGTATCTGAAGTCACAAGACCTGAATTAGCTGATCAGCACTTTGTTCAGGGAGAGCCAGAGGATAAGTAGATGCATTAAGCTTCCAACTTCTGCTGGATTTCTCTCCAGCACTACCTAGGATGCAGAATTCCTGACGTGTTCCCATCACCCCTGGAAGCAGGGTGTTGTCACACACAGTTACATGCAGACACATGGTGATCAGAAGATGGCAGAATTGCTTTTTTGTCCAGTCAGTCCATTCTAAATTAAAAGCCTCAACATGAAAACAGGCACCTGGTACTAGTTTCAAATTTGAGGATTTCCTCAGTCAGAAACATATCTCAAGAATCCCTACACTGAAGTGACAGAGTAAACCAACCTGGGCTTGGGACACTCCTACCTGTACAGCACTGAGAAGATGTGTCCGATAGACTGAAACCACCTCTTGATGCTGCCTCTTAGCATCCTGCAGAAAGAGGAGAGGAGGAGGTCAGGTCATCCCATTTTTCATATTTTTACCCCTGCCCTCCTTGCCCAGCCTTGTGGGCTTGGTGTTGTGCCCTCAGAGTAGCCAGAGCAGGATTTCAAGGTTCAATGCAGCCATATCCCCTCCATTAATCAAGGAACATGTCACTGCTTCACTTCTGCTTTGCCAAAAGTAAGCAATGAAGCTTTGCTGAAAGGTTCTCAGAGACTGGCTGATCCAGTGTGTGTCAGCCTGGATGTCAGGCTGGGATGAAAAACCTGCTCCATCAATAGCATCACCTCTGTGTAAAACCACCCTACTCAGGAACACTGCCTTCTAAGGGTCATCCCTGCAAATACTACTGCAGATGTATCCTCCTGCACAGATTTAGGAGTAACTGGCTGCTCACACAGGCAGCTGGGTGATGAGCCTTACTGCAGTCACAGGGGTCACAAACCTGTTTGTGCACAAAGTCACAGAAGTCATCACCAAGTGTTCCCCTTTGCTGTCAGTACTTAATGATAAGCAACACACTTCACTGTGTTTGCAGACAAGGGAACACAAAACCAAACCATTAAGCAAGGACTGCCCCCCCCCTCTTTCCAACTGAGAAAATACACAGCTGGTAGGTTTTGCAAGACAAAAATGAAGCTGGAAATTGTGTACAGAAACACTCCTGGCATGAACTGTACCAGCAGATCTCTTAAGAACATCCTCTCTAAATTGCCCGTGTCCTTTTCATCTGGAAAAGTTCCCAAAGGCTGCAATTCTAACATGCAGAAGGCAGACAAATTTAAAGCAGCAAGTAGTTGAGGGGGGAAAAAATAATTCCCTGCTATTCTACTTTTGCCAACTCAGCCCCCGTGCTCCAGTGACCACGGGCACCTTTCCTGGTCTCTACAGGAGGCTGAGCAATGCTGCCACCCTCCAGCCTCCACCTGGCACAGTTACTTACAGCCAGCTGCTGCTGCAGGGTTTTCACTTGGTTCTGGAGCATTTCCACCTGCTGGCTCTGCCTCTTGGAGGGGACCCCAGAGGTGTAGGTGAGCTGGGACAGGCCATTAAGGGCTTGTTTTAACCGCTCCACGTCGTTCAGCAGCTCTGTGATCTTCAAAGAAAGCACACACAGCATCACTGAAGGGTGGCTCCCTGACTGAAAACTAATATTCTTTAACAGTTTTTTTAAGACTGATGTAGAACAGCAAGCACTGAAGGGTCTGTGTCCCAGCTTGTCATCACACTGGCCAAGAGACTGAGACCCTGGCCCAGGCTGCCCAGGGAAGCTGTGGCTGCCTCATCCCTGGCAGTGTTGAAGGGCAGGTTGGATGGGGCTTGGAGCAGCCTGGGCTGGTGGGAGGTGTCCCTGCCCATGCAGGGGTTGGGACTGGATGGGCTTTAAGGTCCCTCCCACCCAAACCATCCTATGACATGCTGACACTGTTTACATTCTGCTGCCCAGCACTGAAATGTGAGGTGTAGAGGACTGAACTCTGGAGCCAGGGACAGAAACGTCCTCTGCTCTGGAGATAATTCTTGCTCTGATTTCTAAAAAGGACAAAGACCAGAGGCAAGATGGGGATACTAAACAAATACAGCTCCAGCAGAAGAATGAGTTTATACCCCAGAAGTCTGAAATTCAGCTTGGAAGTTTCATCAGAGTTCAAATACTACATGTAATGGCTGAAATATATGAGAAATTAGAAGAATCTGGTATAATTCCCCCAAAAGCAGGACTTCAGCTTAGCAGAACCCGGGCCCAGGCGGCCCAGGGAAGCTGTGGCTGCCTCATCCCTGGCAGTGTTGAAGGGCAGGTTGGATGGGGCTTGGAGCAGCCTGGGCTGGTGGGAGGTGTCCCTGCCCATGCAGGGGTTGGGACTGGATGGGCTTTAAGGTCCCTCCCACCCAAACCATCCTATGACATGCTGACACTGTTTACATTCTGCTGCCCAGCACTGAAATGTGAGGTGTAGAGGACTGAACTCTGGAGCCAGGGACAGAAACGTCCTCTGCTCTGGAGATAATTCTTGCTCTGATTTCTAAAAAGGACAAAGACCAGAGGCAAGATGGGGATACTAAACAAATACAGCTCCAGCAGAAGAATGAGTTTATACCCCAGAAGTCTGAAATTCAGCTTGGAAGTTTCATCAGAGTTCAAATACTACATGTAATGGCTGAAATATATGAGAAATTAGAAGAATCTGGTATAATTCCCCCAAAAGCAGGACTTCAGCTTAGCAGAACTGGGCACCTAATGCTCAGTACACAAAGTCCTGCTTGATACCTGAGTAGATGTGTTTGAAGTCCAGTTCCTCCCCAATAAAAGGAAGATGTCAAGAGCAGCAACTGACACATCCTACCTTGTTATCCTTGGCTTCCACCTGCTTTGCAGATTCCTGTATTCTCTTCTGCAATTCAATAATTGTTGTCAAGGATTTATCACACCTTTCTTTCTGGTCTTTAATTTCTTGCTCAATGCTGCAGCTCCTTAGCTGAAGCAGCTCCTTCTCATCCTTCAAGGAAAGCTCACTCCTCCTGGCCTGCACGGCCTCCTCGCAGGCTGCCTCGTACTTCCTCTGCATCTCAGACAAGTTCTCAGCTACACAGCTCATCTGAGCCTCCAGAGCAGTCTTCATGGATCTGTATTCTGACATGTCAACCACGTCTTTGCTCTCCAGGTCAGCCACAGCTTGCTGGGCAAGCTGGACCTCAGACCGCAGCTTCGCGACCTCCTCACTTTTAACCCGGTTTTCTTCTTCCTTTTCTTTCAAGCTGGTTTTGGTTGCTGCAATTTCTCCTTCCAGCACCTCCTTCATTTGCCTGTATTCTACCAAAGGTACTGAAGACTTTTTTAGATCTGACAGTTCCTGCTGTAGTTCTCCTACTTTTAGTGTTTCTTTATCATAGCGTTCCTTCGCACTCCTGAGCGCTTCCTTCAGCTCCTGCACCGTGTGACCAAGAGCCTCCTTCAGGGCTTCCAGCTGCTCCCCTGAGGGATGCTGAGCCTGCTCCATGCTCTCCTGCAGCTCCTCCTTCTCTCCTTTTGCACCCCTGTATTTCTGCAGCAATTCTCTCAGCTGCTTATTCAGCTCCCCCATTTTGCTTGTGAACATTTTCTCCACCTCACGGGACTTCTCAGCGAGGACATAGTTCTGCTGCAAGTCACTCTGGATGGACAGAACTCCACTCCTGAGCTTCTCATTCTCCTCTTTGCACTTCTTGTTTTCCTCCTCGCTCACTCTGCACTTCTGCATCTGCTCCTGCAACTGGGCTTCCAGCCCCTTTACTGTGGCTTCAAAGCTTTGTTCTCTGTCTGCAAAGGAGGCAACTGGGGCATATTTGGACTTGATGCACTCCTGAATTGTGTCCAGCTCCCTCTTTTGAGCTTCTATTTCCACGTGCAACTGGACAATTTCTTCTTGACCCCTCTTGTATTCCTCCATAACCCCAACATTGCTCTCCTGGAGCTCTTGCATGCTTTTCTTTAAAGCAGTCACTGTAGTTTCATGATCTTTTAAGCTTATACACTCAGTTTGTAACTGATCCTGTAAGACTTTCACCTTATTTTTCAAAGTTCCGTTTTCTTCATTTACCCTCATGAATTCTTGCTTTATGGCTTCAGTTTTTTCCTTCAGCTCTGACAGTTCCCTGGTGGTCTGTTCCAGTGTGTTATTCAAGACTGTTTTAACCTCCTCATGGGTTGTAGCCAACACATACTGATCCCTGAGAGTCTCTCTTATGGCTGCATTTTCAGAAACTAGCTTGCACACTTTTGCTTGTTCGTCATCATATTTTTTCTGAAGCTCAATAAGCTGCTTTTCAAGTTCAATGCCATTAGATTTTAAAGCCTCCACTTCTTTTTTGTGCTGCTCTGGAGTCAGGTACACAGCTTGGAAGTGGCTGATACTCTCACTTAAGCTGTCTTTCTCCACCAGCAGCTTTTCAGCTTCTGCTTTGCTTTCATTGTACTTCTTTGTTATTTCAAAAAGCTTTTTGGTCAGGTTATTAACAGTCAGATCATTTGTTTTCTTTAATTCTTCATGAATTTTTAAAGGCACATTCTGGCTTTTAATTTCAGTTTTTAGCACTTGGGCTTGCTGCTTAAGCATCTTGTTATCAACCTGCAATCTTTCAAGTTCTTTCTGCAGAGTCTGATTCTTCTGTGACAGTTCAGAAACAGTCTTCCCAAGTTCCTCACTTTTTTGCTCAAACCCACTCCTCATCCGTTCATGGTCTTCTGGCTTCACATGCTGAGCAAGTTTAGCTTTCTGACTCTCAGATTCCCTCTTTAAAAGCAGGATCTCTGCCTGCAGTTTCTCATGCTCTCCTTCCATCTCTGCTAACTTCTTTGCTTTCTCACTCACTTGGTTTGATAACAAACTCTTCATGTTTTCAAACTGCTCTGAAGGCACAGAGTGGGCCAACTTTGCTGCTGTTTCTTCCAGCTGCCCTTCTAACTCCACCACGTTTCTCCCCCTTTTATCTCGCTCCATCTCCGACTTCACAAGTTCCTTCTGCAACCTTTTGTTCTCCTCCACCAGCCTTCCTTCATCTCGCTTAAACTCTGCCACCAGCAATTCATTCTGCTTAATCTGGTTCCTTAGCTTTCCCACTTCAGCAGAGGCTCCTTCATACTTTGTTTTCATCTCCTTCAGCTGATCCCTCAGCTCCTCTGTCAGCTTACTGTTTCCTGAAGCAGCTTCATTAGCCAGGTGATCCTTCAGAGCAAGAAAGTGGGTCTGCATTTGCTTGACTTTGCCTTCAGAGTCAAACATTCTTTTCTGTACATCTTTTAAAGCATCTTCCAGTTGTTTTATCTGCCCATCAGATTCTGCCTTGGTTCTGTCACACTCTGCTGCCAAAGCTTTGCATTCAGAGGCCTTATGAGACAGTTCCCTCTGCAGTTTGCTGATTTCTTCTTTTGCTGCACCATAGCAGGTCCTCATGCTGTCAAGTTCTCTCTTTAAAGTTTCCTTCTCTGAAGTGGATGATTGGTTAGGCAGGGAGAGCTCCAGGGGTCTCAGCATAGACCTGGACTGAAGATAAATTGGCACAGAAGCAGATCCAAGTTTACAGGTTTGACATGTCAGACATGAGCTGTTACACAGATCCCTGTCTTGGCCCAGCACTGAGCTTATATGAGCATAACATCTGTCCAAGACTTTTTCCCCAGAAACACACTAACTCATCCTTGCACCCGTTACAGAACACAAGTATCTCAGCTTGTAATAGTAAAGATCTTGAACACAGCTCTCACTGCTGCCTGCCACCCACCAGGCCCTACTGACAGTCAAGTGCAGGTACAGGACAACCACTTCATCTCCCTTGTTGTTCATACTTGATCATTCACCTGCTAGAAGAAACTGAATTTATGAAGAGATTTCCCCTGTCTCTCAAGCACGTGAATGTAATTTTAAAGGGAATCAGAACTGAATACATCATTGTTCACAGAACCTTCTCTCTGAAAAGACTGAGGAAAACAGTCATTTCATTTGCTGGCCAGTAAAGAGCAGCTCAAAACCACCAGTTTTGCCCTCCTGCCACATGGTCACTGCCAACCTGGGCTGCACCACCAGTCATGGTGGCTGTTACAAGCCACAGGCCTCCTCCAGTGACCTCAGTGTTCTCAAGACCAGAAAGCAGTGTGTGGCTTCCAGACACAAGGGCCTTAAAGCCACTTGATTCCTGCTTGGGACACAGCCTGGCTTGTTGTTTGTTGGGTTTTTTTCTTGTTTTTTTTTTGCCCACCCCTCCACTTGTTTTTTTTAATTGCACATCAGCTAATTTTAAACGTCAACTAGAAATAAAATTGGAATAATCTTATGTAAAACGTGGCAGAAGAGACTGAATTTTTCTTTGTTACTAGTAAAACATATAAAACACATTGGTGAAAGCTGGCAGAAAAGGCAGAGGCTGCAGAGATTTCTAGCCATCCCTGATGGAAGCATTCCAGCTGAAATACTCACATGTAAGAACAGCTTGTCAGTTAGGAACAAGCCCTGTCATATCTGACACACTGAGGTCTGATGGACCTGGCTTATAACTGAATTGTTAGTTTAAAAGGTGGGTAGCTATCAGCAAATTCTTGTATAGCTGGCATGAAAAGCATTCTGAATTTTAGCTGAATTTCAAGTAGAAAAAAAGCTTAGGGAGATGAAAACCCAATTGCACTTGACACCGTGACTGCTGACCCAGCAGCCTGTTGATGTGGTTTTAAGGATGCTCAGCACAGAGCAGCCCCTGCAGCACCAACAGCTCCCAGCACTCAGAGCTATGTCACACGGGAACCCTAGAGGGCACCAGCTGTTAAAACTAAACACAGCAAATACTGAGCAACTGGTGCTCAGACGCGATGTCACTTCGTGTACGTTTCAGAATCTTTATCTTTCCCAAGCATAACTATCTTAGAATTGTCTCCAGTGGCAAAATATTTATTACCTGTGATTCCACAGCAAACGCTTGGCTTTGTTTAAGTAATAAATCTTCTTTTCCTGGATTTACAAAGCAAACAGATTTAGTCTCTCTTTAAAAGACAGTAACTTAATCACAAGAACTCTTGATTTTCCCTCCCAACTTCACTGCATCCCCTGGGCCTGCTCTGGCTGAAGGCTGCTGCTTAAGTCCTGGGCATTAAAGCAGCTTCTCCTGAATTAAGTCACACAGGAAGCCTGGACAAACCCCCAGTAACAAAAACATACCCCTAGAGTGCCAGGCTGGGTCTTGTTCTGCAAAACAGAACATGGCCCAGCACATGAAGCCACCAGGGAGAAGCATCCCCTGGCACTGCAAATACATGATCCCTCCTGACAGGCAGCCAAACAGCTCTCACACCAGCTCCTGACAGATGAAGTAACATTCTGAGTTACTCAAGTGCAAGGCAGGCCTGTAACAAGTTGGATGCAGAGAGACTTTAGTTTCTGGACACTGAATAATATCTAATAGAGGTGCAGGCTGAGGCCTTGAGCTTGGAGTTGCCCTCCAACCTATCCACACTCCAGCTTCCAGCAGGACCACAGCTCCCTTGTCATGAGCTGGCCCTGAGCATTGTTTAGGATATGAAGAATAGCACAGGGAAGACTCAGCTTGAAGCACAGATCTTGTGCAGCTTGTTCTTCACATTACCAGAAGGCTCAGCAGAGCTAGAATGCACATCTCACAGGAGCAGCCACTTGGGAGACTGATCAGCAGTGCCTGCCCCTGGGGCACACACTGCACTTTGGGTCACAGGCTGCTCTGGGTTGGAAGGGACCTTAAAGCCCATCCAGTGCTACCCCCCATGGGCAGGGACACCTCCCAGCAGCCCAGGCTGCTCCAAGCCCCATCCAACCTGCCCTTCAACACTGCCAGGGATGGGGCAGCCACAGCTTCCCTGGGCAGCCTGGGCCAGGCTCTCACCACCCTCACAGCAAAGAATTTCTTCCTAATATCTCACCTAAATCTCCCCTCTTCCAGTTTTAATCCATTTCCCCTCCTGCTCTCACTACAAGCCCTTGTCAAAAGCCCTTCCCCCCCAGCTTTCCTGGAAGCCCTGTCAGGCACTGGAGGTTTGAGGGGTGGGCACACACCATGGCAAGACCAAGAGATGCCACAAGCCCCCCCACCCCATGCAACTCAACACTGCACCACGTGTGGCAAGTTCCAAGAACTAAGTTTACTTACTGTTACCAAAGTTACTTCCAGATCCCACAAAGTCAGCCTAAAAGCAAACAGCAAGAAACACAAAGATGTAGCAAAAATCTGAAATGCATTTTCAGCTCAATGTTAAGCTAGGGACTAAAGGGCATGGAAAACTTTGTCAGTGAGACAACCACTCAAGACTTTCAATAATTTAAAATTGCTCAAGTATTTACTACTGTAAATACCAATTTTGATATTGCATTTCTAATCAATTAACATACTTCATAGTATTTGAGTTTAGCTTTGAGAGCTTCAATAGTCCTTAAGCTTTCTTCCTGCTGTTTTTCCTTGGTGGTTAGGATTTTCTTCAGCTCATCTTTCTGAAAGAGAAAGAGTGCCAAATAGCCAAAGCCACAAGAACTGCTGGATTTATAAGATCCCAAGCAAATTCTAAAAACGTTTAGGGAGAAATTCAGCCAAGATCAGCACTGAAAGAATCCCCACATTTTTGCTTCTGAAGTTCTGCCCCAACACTGGTTCTTTACCAGAGGAATCTTGAAGGAGGAGTCAAGGGAATAGGCACCAACATAGCTTGCTATTGTTTGATTTTTCACATTTATTAGTCTTGTATCACTGAAAGTCACTGAAGAGAACCTTTTAACATGAAGCCTGCTTTAAAAGGTGCCACAGGGATTACATGTATTATTTCTAGCAATATAAATGCTGTGCAGCTGTATAAACAGAGTAGACATCAGTAGGTATTTAATTTAGCATTTACAGCTTTTCTTTCCTCTATAGCTTTAAGTCTGATTAAATGCAACAGTCTCCTCCTCTTCTCCACAGTTGTGTTACACTTTAAGTTGATGTATCATACCTCGTGTTCAAGATCTTCTGCAAACATTTGCTCCTGCAAAAATAACAAAAACAATTCCCCCACAAATCATTTTCTCAATAAAGTTTAAGGGGCTCATACACAGCTCATTAGCTGACAAGTCTACACGGTTCTAACTGTTCCCCTTCCATTTACCATCCAACCTCTGGCAGGAGAAATAAAGAGACAGAAAACAAGGATGCTTGGCAGAGCAATGTCTCCTGAACTGCACGTTAGGGAATGTGAATCTCTCCTCAGTTCTCCAGATCATACTGAGGCAGCAAACACAGTTTTTCAGTACAAGATTGCTAGATTGCTGATTTGGGAAAGTAAAAAAAGTCAGTCTGCATTTCTGTTTTGTTTCATGAAGGCAATTCTTGAGAGAGTTCAGACAAGTCAAGTGGTTCCAAAAAGCAACAGTCTGCCTATCCATGAGCCAGGTTTAGGGGAAACTGCCTACAGTTTTAGAATGCACCTCTGCAAAAATCCAGTGAAGGAACATGAGGCTCTTCAAAAGAAAAAAAAAAAAAGTCTTGTTTTTATTTTCTTCCTCAGCTGTACTGCTCATTTAGACCAAGAAGAGGGAGCTTTTTAAAAAAAGACTTCAAATTTGAGTGAAAATTTCCCTGTTCAAGTTTCTGGTTTTGCTAATTGAAGATTCTTCTGTGTTTCCACTTACAGTAAGAGCTGGAAGACAAGCAGTGGCTATGACAGGGCACTGACACACAGCATCTGCATTTACTTGTACAGAGGAAGTTTACTCTCTAAATTACAAGATGCCAACACCTCACAGTTCCCCTTGCCTTGCAAAGTGCAGCCATAAACGTTGCTGCTCAAACGTAGGAGGTGAATGACATTGTAAGAGCTCTGCTCACATTTTGAGCATCATTATAAGACTAAAAGCTTGTGCAGCAGAAGAAGATGACAGTGACACAACAATAATTGACAGGAAAGCAGTGAAGACCACATATTAATTCCACATGCTTCCATTTCTACTTCTACCAGCCCTCCCTGTCAGCACCAGGTCATTATCAGAGCTCCCAGGCCAGGTTATTCCAACACCAGGTTTACCTCATTCAGCTGCAGCTGGAGCCCACTGATTCTATCCAGCAGCATCCTCTGCTCCTCTTGCACTTCTCTCATCCTGTCTCTCAAATCTTGATTTTCCAACTCCAAGTCCTAAAAAGTAAAAGACTGAATTTAAGGAACCCACAACCACCACACTACACACACACTGGGAAACTAAAGAATCTGAGGCACAATTTTAACAGTCAGTAAAGACAAAGCCTTGCCTAACAAGATCCCTAATGATTCTGTGTCCTTACTCAAGGTCTGCTTCGTTCTGAAATTTACATAAAAGCTCTAGACTCATTCTGGTGTAAGTGCAAGTACAGGTTCTGAAAGCATGAGCAGGGAGGGTCACATTCAGTGCTGACACCACTCAAGAAGCTGCTTATCCACTGTCTATTAACAAGTAAAAATAACTAATGTGAAAACAGTTCCTGAAATCCAACCACTGCAGCAGAAGGTGTAAAAGTGTCTTCCTGGCATGAAACAGCAGCCTTTAAACGTGGCCACTGCTCCAGCAGCCACAGAATCACTCCAGTAACACAGAACAAACCCAGTGCATGAGATGGGAGCTCCTTGTGCCATCAGTCAGCCCAGTGCTCACATGCAAACAATAAAGCATGTTTAACTCTTGCCTGGTAATCACTGCCTTAACTATAGTAACTACCTTAGCTCAAACCAGAGGGTTGGATTAAAGATCTTTATCTTTTTATTACAAAGTATTCCAGAATGCAGGCTTCCATTTTCCAGTGGTTTATTCTCCATAGCTTAAACACTGTTTACCTTTTTGAAAACTGTAATGACATAGCAACAGGATGAGAAAATTAATACTAGTTAGTAGAGCAGTTATTATCCAGCTTGTTTTTAGTAAGACACTTAAGTAAACACCTCTCTTGAGAATGTTAAAAATAGAACTTCCTGGTTTGTGACCCTGTGATTCCACTGCAGGCAGGAGCAGGGCAGAGGAGGCTCAGAGATGGGCAGGGGCAAGGCATGAAGAGACTTGCATCCCTGTGTTACACAAGCTTTTTTTCCTGAAAAAGCTCCCAGCTCATCTGCATAATTGCCCCATGCCAGTCATGCCACAAGCTGCTAAGTAAACAGCAATGTATGTGGCCTTCATGGCCCTGGCAAGGCTCCCTCAGCCAGCAGCCCAGCTGAGGAGCACGGCTGCTCCTTGGGGCCCCCCGGCCAGCGAGCCCCTCACCTGGGCAGCCGGGCCCCCCTCGCTCAGCCCCGCGCTCCCCTCCTGCGCCCGCAGCCAGTTCCGCTTCTGGGACAGATGAGGGACCTGTTGTTGCAGGAGTGAAGCGTTAGTTTGTGTTCCTGGGGCTCTCTGAAGACACCCACGTCCGGGGGCAGGGGCTACTCTCAGTTCAGAGGGCACTGAGGGGCAGGATGGCCAAGCTCCTCAGGCTGCTCCCCAGCCAGCACCGGCCGCCCGGCCCAGCTCCAGCCCTCAGCGTGCACAGCACGGGATGTGCTCCCAACAGAACCAGACACACTATCTGATTAGAGGGAATCTTCTCGGCTACATATGCAGCTAAGAATTTAAAAGCCACTGAGCTGGCTGTGCAGAGCACAACCCTCCCCAGCCCCTCAGCAGTGCCAGCAGCACAGCGGCTCAGCGCTCTCACCTAAGCAGCTTATGTTCTCCCCTCTTCCAATTTCACCCAGCTAGGACATTGCTCTTGCACTGGAAGTCTCTCCAAAGCCTCTCTGAGCAGATTGAACAGACCTGACAATCACATCTCAGGCTCAGAGCTGTGCTGCAGTACAAAGATGTGGCAAGGAGCCAACATGCACAAGAAGTTTGGTCTGACCTGCAGCCTACACAAGCAGGGCAAACCTTAAATTACCAGCACTGCTGAGCAGCACCAGGCATTTAGTCAGGATTATTACCCTTGAAATTACAGAACCTGGAAGTATTTCACAATTACTACATAGTCCTCTATCAAATGAGGTACTTCAAATTGAGGCACTGCTGTTGGAAAGAGAACACTGCACATTCCTCAGTAACTTAGAGGGCAGTTTTACTCATGGCCTTCCTAGGCCAGCTGCACAGCAAGAGCAGAAGGCCAGTAAAACGCACATCATGCACCTGTAAAGGCTTTCTGATTATACATACACTGAAGTTTTTGAATAAAAAACACCTTGGAAAAAATCTCGCTAGGTCAATTAAAACCACTTCAGTTTTATTCCCCCCACCTGTTTTTAAAACACAAGGGGTCCCCACCATATATTGGGAGCATAATTCTACAGGAGACCTGTGCAGAACAAGGAGCTTTTGAAGGTGCTGCAGGGACACACAAAAGCCAGATCCTTGTTCACAACAGGTCAATTCCAGCTGCCAACAGCAGGAAGTTCAATCAAAACTAACACCATCCCCAAACCAGGCTCAAAAAATCCCTAATCATTCTGGGCCCTGTATGGCAGCTCTTTCACCCCAACAGGAAAATCAAAGGGCATCATGCTAAAAAACAATGAAGCTTCACTAGTGTGAAGTCTCTCCTCTCACTTCCTCCAGAAACCAGCCCTAGGAGATGCTCAGTATAACAAGCCTTACCTTTTGTTCAAGCTGCCCTTTTTTCAGGGTATCTCTTGCTATAAAAAATAAGAAAAATAGGAAGTTAAAAATGCATCTCATCCAGGCTCATGCAGCACATCCAGCTATTTATCAAGTTTTGATCTTAGAGGACATCTCAAGAAATCATTTCCCCTCCCCAATTAATCAGATATGGAAACATTCACAAGTACAATGTTCTTCTATAAATAAGGCTAAATAATTCAACACTGCAATGCTAGGTTCAGCAATGCTAATAACTTCAGGTATCAGAGCCTATATTAACCTTAAAAGCTTTATTGAAAACAAGGAGAAACCAAAATCCTTCTTTCTTCTCCCAAAGAGGCAGTTTATCACCTTTTTGTTTCAAGGACTACAGCTGCCCTCCAAAGAACAGCTCCTGAAGTCAGAGCAGTGAGGAGACAATTCAAATGAAAGAACAGCCAAGTGTTGCACCCACATTCCTTCCTACCTTTGCTGGAATCCTCAAGGGCAGCTTTTATTAAAGCCAAAATGTCAATATTGTCAGCGATTCTGGCATAGTAGGCACAGTCATGACCAAGGCCATCAGTCAAACTAACATCTGCACCATTTCTGAGCAGCACCTCCACAGCATCCCTGCAGCCATATTCACAGCCCAGCATCAGGGCAGTCCTGGGGAGGAGAGAGAGGGCTCTTAGACACGGGCTGCCTGGGCCTCCCAGAGCAGCATCCTTCACACCCACAGCTGGGAGTCAAGGAGGAATCTCTCCTCCATCAAGAGAGGAAACGAAGCTTTAAAAAGCCATCCAGTCAATGTTTAAGTATTTGTCACAAAGCAAACAAAAAACACTGTCCCTGCAGCACTTTGGTGGAACTCAGCATAAACCTCCTGCCTGGGAGAGCTACTCAGTGTTTTGAAAACTCATGGGACTTTTTGACTTCCTCTCTACTTAGATACAAACATCACCAGACACAACAAACACAAGGCAAAGTTGAGTCTGAATTCCAGCAGTGCTTGGGAACCCGGGCAGTACCCCCCAGACACTCCCCAGCCCCAGGGCAGGCAGTGCCCCTGCCTGGGCTTTGTCCCACTGCAGCCTCGGGTCCCTGGGCCACCAGCACTCGCCTGCCAAGGAAGAGCTGGCAGAAGCAGCAGCTACAATAGAAAACACCCCTTTCCCTGACCTCTCCCATGAATACAGGGGCAAATATTTCAAGGGCCTTTAGAGGCTCCAGTGTCCCTCAGAGGACACAAGCACTTGACAGTGCCACTGCTGTCACCACCCGTTCTGCATACTGACCCCAAAGGGTGCAAGATGCAGCTTTGTTCAGACAAGGCCTTAAAAAAACAACTGTTGTTTCTCTGCTGACAGAAACTAGCCTATATGTACTGTAGATGCAAGAACAAGCAATTTGAAAAGGCCAAGATTATCTGCATTACTGAATCAGCACATCTGCTTCTGAGCTAAATCCCAGGTACTTTTCCACTGAATTTAGTTTGTTTGTTCTGTAGCCTGACAGGCAAGGGAGCAGCTTCCTACCCTCCAGATGTCAGCAGGCATTCTGACAACCCTGTGTGCCTTACCTGTTTTGTTTGTCCCTGGCATTCACATCTGCTCCCCTGTCTATCAGAAGCTGACAGACCGCAGGACGACACATCTGAGTGGCCAGCACCAGGGGTGTCCTCCCATCCTGAGGAGAGAGAGGGGGAAATTAAGGAAAGGAGAGGAAGTAGGAAGCACAAGAACTCCAGTCAGGTCTGTACAGGAGAGGGCTACAAACAGCAGCTTACCCCATCTTTGGAATTCACTGAGGCCCCATGATCACACAGCAGCTGAATGCTGGAGGAACAGTCTGACATGGCTTTCAAGAGAAAAAGAAAGAGCAAGTTACACTGCACTGGGAAATAAACCCCCAACAGCTCCTTGGGTGCATTGGTTTCACAAAAGCTCATCCACATCACAATAAGACTCTGGCTCAGTTCTCACACAACCACCTCAAGAGCACATGAAGAAGTCACACACTGCTGCTGCACAGGGCACAGCATGAGGAGGGTGCAGACAGCCCAGAGACAAGGTATCTCAACCTAACACCTCTGCTCAACCACTGCTGGGGAAACGTGGTTATGATTTTACTAAAAAACTCATGGGTACCAGCAGAGACTTTCAGAACTACAGCCTTTGCTAAGACTGTCAAGTTTGTTACAAAGGACAAATGTCATAACAACATAAACAATTTTCTCCTGCTACAGCCACCAAAATTAATGTAAGAACTTGATCCATCTGAAAATGAATCCATTCATCAAATCTCGAGTTCATGCTGCAGTTACCCAACAGGCACAGCCTTTTACCTGCATCATGGAGAGCAGTTCTCCCTTGAAGATCCACATTCTCTGTTGGACAGTTGAACTGTTAAAACAAGCAACCCAGATTGCACTTATAAAACATGAAATGTTTTGAGGTCCAAATTAAAGCAAGAAAAAGCTATTTAAGGAAAAAAAAAAAACTAAGTTTATAGTTGACACACATGAAAGAAGGAACTCTGGGTACATGCACTTGAGTGCTCTAAACACATGGATCAAAACTTGTAGAAGTAAATGAAGACCATGCAAAGAAAACACAATTCAGACTTTTCACAAACACTTTCAAATGTTTGTTCCCTATGACCAAGATGCTCCACCCCTTGTCATTTCCTCCTCCCTATCCAAATCAGCCCCAGTTCTGTCACCCCTCAGAAAATGCACCATTCACATCTGCATGGTGACATGCATCAAGTGAGCAGAAGATGAAAAGAACACAAGAGAAGTTCAAAAAAATTCAAAAGAGCATAAACTGACCAGGAAGAAAATAAAATAAAAAATAAATAAATCACACAAACCTAAGATAACCCCCCAATAATGTTTCATTAATGAAAGATGATGGATTAATGCCCATCTCTGGAGGAAAGTGCTGCTCTTGAGCAAACTTTCCAGTGTTACTGTCCCTACAGGCAAACACACTCAGAAAAGCAACACTGATCTTTAAAAGACACACAGCTCCAATTTCATTAAGTGGTAGAAACTACAACTTGATTTGATTGACTATGTGAAGAGGAAAAAAAGTCTATTTTCTTTATTTTAGCCCTTTCAGCCACCCTCTGGTGTTTAATACAAAAATGTCTTTTTCCAGGATTCTTATTTTCAAAAACAATGTAAATTGGTTTAGTGGCATGTCCCAATTTTGAATCAGTGTATTTAACAGCACCTTCTTCTGCCTCTGGAATAAAAACCATGACAACAGACAAGCTGTATTTTTCAGTACCTGCAACAGCTTCTGCAAACAGAGAGCATGTCCATACTTTGCAGCCAGGTGCAGTGCGTTTCTGCCTGCAAAGTGAGAACAAAATCCAGTCAGGATCTGTTTTGAACACACATTCAGAAATACCACAGGCAAATCTAACACCTCCATGTTGTTTCTGAAAGTTTATTACTAATCATAACACTAATTCATACATTAATTTGTACTTCCCCAAAGCATTAGCATGGTTTTTCATCTAGGGAAAAACCTGTCATTCTCCTCCTCCATAATTCCAGGTGCTTCATGACTGCTCATCATGTGCCAGATGTATGAAACACCAAGATAATGTGTCACTAGACTGCTGGCACTCAGATCAATATTCAGATCAGTTTAAGTACAACAGTCCCTGTCCACCCCCACCAATTTTGTCAGTGCTGTAACTAAGTCCTCTCTCCTGCACATCCTTCACTATTTGTTACACAGGCTTTTTCTTACTTGAAAGACACTGAAACCAGGATTCAAGTTAATTAGCGAAACTAATTTCAAAATAATGCAAGTGACTCTGCATAAGCATTTAAAAACATAATCTGTCATATGAAAAGAGGAGGGTAAGTTACTTCTGTAAGGAAGCTGAAAATGAGAATATTCATTAACCACATTAAATCAGGAGGTAAACAAGCTGAGGCAAAATTAGCACCTGTTTCCAGCCACCTCTTCCCCCAGTATCACACAAGGAAATCCAGAAGGCAGCACAGACAGGCTCTAAAGTTCTGAGGGCTCAGTGCGCCTGCACAAACACCTACCACAGCATTTCATTTCCATCCTCACTGTGCATACTGCAAGTCTCAGTGAAATGCCCTTAGTATTTAAATGAACCCCAGACCCTGTAAAGCCATTCTTGCACTGTTATTCTCAACCAAGAATGCTGATCCCCCCCAGTGAGTCTGGAACAGACTATACATGCCCCTGGAGCTCTTCAGGTCTGCTGCATTCATGAACGTCCATGGCAGGAACTGTAGGTTCCCCACAGTTCAGAAACAAGGCACACAGATAATGGATGTTTTTGCCAACTACAGAAAGGAGGGATATCCATCCTGTAGTTCAGCTGAGTTCTGCTCCAGAATTAACCAAGTTGAGAACCTTTGCAAGTTGCCAGCTGAGGAAGCCTACCTGCAGCATCAGTGGCTGTGATATCAGCTCCATGAATGAGGATGGTGTTCAAGCAGTCCAGGCTTCCCTTTGATGCTACAACATGGAATCTAAAATCAGAAAATACCTTGCTTAAGTACAACTGTTCTATGCACAAACCCAGTAACATGAACTAGGAAATCCAAAGCAAACACCTGTACACTGAAAGCATTATGCAATACAAATCCAGCCTTGGGCAGCATCCAAATCCATTGAGCAGTTTTGCAGACATCACTTGAGGGAACAAGTTAACTTTCCTGAGGAGTAACAGTGACTTACCTTGAAAAATCAACATGCTTTCTATTTCTCTTGACATGCAAACCTGGCTAGAGCAAGGATTAAATCCTGATCTCCACACTGTTTATGAGAGTTTCACTTTCTAGCTACCCGGCACTCTAGCTTATATGAGGCTAAAACCTGACATGATGTATGACAGATTTATAGATTAAAGAGAGTTTGGAGCAGCAGGAAGATGCACAAATTTTGACAGTTACTTACGCAGATCTCCCTTCCACATCTAGTTTGGTAGGACTGACCCCTTTTTTGGCAAGGATTGCTGAAACCTTCTCCACATCGCCCCGCTCAGCTGCTTTCATCAACCTGTCATCATATTTGTTCCAGTCTGTGTTCAGCTGTGGAAGAGAACCAGAATAAGTGAGCTGGTGGTGCACTACCCATCTACTACAGGAACATCCATGAAAGGCTGAATCAGCTGTAACTGGGGGATTCCACAAAAAATACCTTGGTTTGCAGAGCTGTACCTGTTAGGAGGTTTAGTTATTATGTGTAACATCACTGTAGTGTTTCAATCAGGCTGTGATTGAACACACAGTGGTCCAAGACAAGCTAGTGAAGTCACTTCTAAAGGAGACCTTGAGGACCAGACCTCTCTGGTTCTCCTCATTTTGCTTCGTTCTCACAGGACTAAAACCAAAGCCACACACAGTGGCTCCTTATCCTCATTCCGAAATGAAAGCTTCCGACAGCTTCTCACATGAGGTCACCCTTGCACATCTCCCCCTGTTCCCTCTTATCTGATACCAGCTATCAGCTATTTATAGCTGCCACAGGAGGCTGCCAGGACTGAAAGGCTGCTTGTTTGTCTTTATTGTCATCACTTGAATTTTAACAGTCTAAATAAAACAAATCAGGTCTTTCATTTCAATATATTCAATATCCCTGCTTCAAAAATGACAAATTACCAAACAAGATGTAACACAAAGAAGCAGAGAAGGGAGGAGTTATTAAAGCCCAAAATAGTATCAACAACTTCCAATCCAAGTGATCATCTTCAGTATAAGATTTTCAGCATTCATTAAAATATTTCATAGGCAGTGGGGCAGACAAAACAGCAGCTACAACTTCCCCTCTATCAACCCTTATACAGGAAAGGTACCACTGAGACCTCACCAGGTGGCCTTTGTGAGCCAACCAGGACAATGATGAAATAGTCAGTTTCAAGAGTTCAGCAACACAAGTACTAAATTCAGCCCTTTCTAAACCTAGTTCACGTTTATCCAGAACAGATGAGTTTTCCAGGTTCAATCAAAGTTCCACTCCTTTCCACATCCAACATGTAAAATTGATGAAAGAACATCAGAAAAAGCAACAAGCAGAGACTATTTTCACCATACCAACCCATACAAGTTGCTGTTCCTCATCCACTTGCAGGGTGCAGTTTGAGGCCACCTCCCACCCCACACAGCCACAGGCCACTGCCAAGAGAAGCATCCCTCTGCTTCATGTGCCTTGGGCCAGGGAACCAGCCTCCCCTGCAACTGCCCAGCAAGCTGATCCCTAAGCAAACATGCCAAGAGGACAGCCATCAAACCAGCTTGGTGACCTGATCTGCCTGCTGAAGGGTCAGGAGGAGGGAAAGGAACGAGCAGGCAGCAGGGGATGGCAGGGGATCCAGTGTGACACTGCCTGGTTCCCAATGAGATGCCGCAGGTCAACACGGGCACACACACACGGGCACACACACACGGGCGCGCACACACACACGGGCACACACACACACGGGCACACACACACACGGGCACACACACACACGGGCACACACACACACGGGCACACACACACACGGGCACACACACACACGGGCACACACACACACGGGCACACACACACACGGGCACACACACACACGGGCACACACACACACGCACACACACACACACGCGCACACACACACACGCACACACACACACTCACACGCGCACACACACACACACACACAAGGGGGTCCCGGGGGGCCGCTCATCCCCGCCCCCC